CTATACACTTTTGTGACATCCCCAATTTCACGCCCAGAAAAGACCAATTTGTTTATGCTTTGTTTTATAAATCAGAGTAATCGTTTAAAGAAAACAGTTGCGGAATTTGTTCCCAAAACAAGATATGATAAAAACTTATCAAAACATTTCTCAAAGAGAATGTATTTTCATTAAATAATAAAACCTCGGGATGTCATGTTCCGATACAGACACATAAGCATAAACAGAACATACATTCATTTACTCTAGTGATTTACATCTCCTTTAATCTCTCAGTGCAAAGCAGCTTCGTATCGATACCTGTGATACAATTAAACTGAGTGGGTCAGGCTTGGGAGCCTGGTGAGCATATAGGGTTTTCATCCCACAATGTTATATCATATAAATATATATAGAACATCCAAAATTATATAATTTGACCATATAAAAAGCAACTCTTATCCCACCCCATCGATCCTCACAAAGACACGATCTAAACTCTCGTATCTAAACTTTTCCTCTTTATATGATCCCTACTCACGGATCTAAACTAATCTCTCCACCTGATCCATACTCTCGGACCTAAAACTAACCTCTTGGTCTAATCCATACTCCCAGATCTAAACTAATCTCTTGGTTTGATCCATACTCCCGGATCTAAAACTGTGCCCAATCCATACTCCCGGACTAGGGACAATTTACTATGTCTTAATCCATACTCCCAGATTAATGACAAGTTTACCTATTGTTCTGATCCATACTCCCGGACTAGGGACAATTTACTATACCTAAATCCTGTTCTGATCCATACTCCCGGATCTAAACTGTGCCCAATCCATACTCCCGGACTAGGGACAATTTACGATGTCTTAATCCATACTCCCGGATTAATAACAAGTTTATCTCTTTTCCTATTCCATACTCTCGGATCTAAATCCAATCTCTTTATCTAATCCATACTCACGGATCTAAAACTAACCTCTTGATCTGATCCATACTCACGGATCTTATCTACCCATGTCCTACCCAACATATTCATAGATACAAAATATACATACAGTTTAACTCATTAAAACCTATATAGTTCATCCATTCCATACTCATCTTCAATAAACAAACAATATATAAACACATAGCAGGTATTTCATAACAAATACTTAATATTTATGTGTTAGAAGAAAGTGACTATACACTCACACATATAAACAACAATAAACTTAATACACTTAAACCATACTTGTATTATTATCTTGTTTATGAAAGGTAGTATACACTCACTTGATCAGAAGATGATCGGACAGCACTACGACTTGCAAAAGTAGTAATCCTCAGCGGATCTGGAAGATCTCTACAAAAATCGAACTTCTCGCGGGCAGAGCTTCGGCTCGGAAACCGCACTTCTCGGGATCTTCGGGATCTCGGGACTTGCTTCGGGACTCGGGAATATTACCGGGGTTTCGGGGTATTTCTGGCACGCAAATCAAGGCAAAACGGGAGAGAGAAGAGAGAAAATAGCAACCCTAAACGGATGACCCTTCAAATCTATTTATAGGGCAATTTTGGCCCTTGCCACGTTGTGGGATCCTTTTGCCACGTCGTGGGCTTGATCGTCACTGCATGCGTCATCCCAAGTTGCATCTGGGGGACTCCCGGAGGTGTCAGGACACTTGCCACGTCGTGGCACTGCTTGCCACGTCGTGGTCTCTGACAGTTTTGGGGTTTCGCGCCCCGAACTTTAGAAATTCATAACTTTCGCATACGAACTCCGTTTTCGATGTTCTTTATATCGCCGCGAAGGTGAGATTATGCTCTACAACTCTCGTTTAGACACCATTGGCTAATTTTGACTTTATTTTTAATATATTATAAGTATATTACTTATATATTATTTTTAGTAGGCCGGGACAGGAAAACTTCGTTCGAAATTCATAACTCCTTTATCTGAACTCCGATTCCGTCCGTCTTTCCGTCGTTGCACTACTATCGATGAGATCTTCAATTCTCATTTAGATCACTAAGGATAGATATCTATCTACCTTAAATTCACTATTTATCTCGCTTGGTCACGCTGGGTCGTGCCGGTTCTGTCGCAAAACTTCGACAGGTCATAACTTCTTCATTATAACTCGGATTTTGGCGTTCTTTATATGCACGGAAACCTTGTGACATATACTACAACTTGGTTAAGATTAATCCCTCTAAATAATCTTCCATCAAAAAGTCATTTTTGACGCTTAACGTCTCTAATTGACTAGCCCGGATCTACGGGCGTTACAACTTTCGATCTTAGTATTTAAGACTACATGTCATTCATTACGGGATTTTCCTCAAATCTAAAAGAGTTTTATGTCGATTTAAAACCACATTTATATCTTTAAGTATGGCAAATACTTGTTTATTCTTGGTCCTGGGATTTAGGACCACATAACTTATATAAGGAAAATATTGGATTTTTCTTGGTAACACACAACACTTTACAATGAATGGTTTCCAAACTCTTACTTTCGAAAGCTTATGAACTCACCAACTTAATTGTTGACACTTTTTCAAAACTACATGTATTCTCAGGGAATCAGTGAAACATGAAAACCAACAACATTTTGAGGATGGGACGTCAAATCGTCAAACAGTTCATTTTGTCATCGTAATGTAATTGAGTGAAACATGTAAACATATACTTTGGGGTAACTTTTCAATTATATTTATGATGGTTGTTTTTACTTTGAGCACTATTATACTCGTTGTTGTGATACTATACATGCAGTCCTCCACCCCCGGACGTTTCCGTCATCCGTGGTTTGGGGGTGTGACATGTTTTTGGCAAGGATAATCATTTAAATACAATAAAATTCAGATTTTATTATTGAAAAATGATTTTGGCATTTATCCTATAGCAAAACAGCAAGAAATCTCGAGATATACTCTGTCTGACTCCCAAACTCGCTGAGTCAATTCTTGGACTCGCCGAGTTGGGCCAACTCGCCAAGTCCAGATACTGACTCGCCGAGTTGAGTCGGGCAGAGGCCAAAAAAACGATTTTCAGCAAAAACACGACAATTACATCACATACAACATAAACCAATCAAGTCTCTGATACCACTGATGGGTTTAAAGTAAAAGAACATCCTATGTGCTCATGCAAAACCCTAAAGCTTAGATCTAGGCTTCTCTATTGTACATGTAATCAATCCAAGACTTGTAACCCTAGATCTAGCATGCATAATTCGAAATTAACATTATAAGAACATATCTAAGTGTTTACCTCTTTCAATTGGTTTGAAATCCTTTGAATCTTCTTGGTCTTGAGCTTAGAGTGACAATTGTAACTCCTCTAATGTTTCACAAACACCACAAGGAAGAAGAATATTATGAGAGAGGAGGAAGAACACTGAAAATCGGCCCTAGGGTTTCACTTGGAGTCAAGGTTCCGAAATTGTATCCAAGGGCCTCTATTTATAGTGTAGGCTGCTAGGGTTTCAGTTTAAACCCTAATGGACAACTTAGTCACCAAGCAGCCCATGGAACCTTTTATATTAGGGCCTTTGGATGAAAATATGATGGATCCCTATCATAATTTCGTCCCTCCTTAGTCCATTAGGTTTCCCAGCCCAAAACTCAACTATCACACATTTGACAGTTTATACCCTTTATTCAATTAATCTCTTTTAGTCACTAAATTAATTCCTAATTAATTTATGACTAATATTAATCAAATAATATGATTTCTCCTTCAATATATTATTCTTATAATATATTAACAAACCATAATATCTTCTCTCTCTCCTAAATAACCTAGTCAAGTTGCTTTGGTGAAGGCAACCCAAAATGACCATGCACAACCGGGTCCACTACACACCAAATATAGTTATAGGCTTAGACACTAATCCAACAGTTCTTTGGTCTAACATTACCAAATTGAAAGTTTACTAGCCCGTTAGGCCCAATAAGAATATCATGGCTCATTTTGAGATTGAATTGAAACATTAGGGTTACGACCCAATGTTGAATGTATAACATGCATTGAATTTGGTTCGTGGAATGAACATCATGTATTATCAAGCTTAAAGTTGCAAAATACATCAAAAGTGAATTACATGTAGACAGAATTTCGTAGCCGAGAGTACTAGTTGTGACAATTTACACTTCAAAACTCTCCTAATGTGCTCCTAATAATGAGTTTAACATCTTCAAATCTTCAAACAGTTTCTCAGAAACACCTTCAAACTTTCCCAAGAGACTAGTCCTTCAATGGATTCATACGAATCTTTATAAGTATTCCTTATATATATATTTTAGTGTTCATACAACACTTTCATATTAGGTCATCTAATTTACACACATGATTATGTGTTAAAAACCTATTAGGATACAACCACCTTCACATATTCTAACTTGAAGATCATCACCATCTCCTTGTTATCCAGCCAAGAACACACTCGAGGTGAGTTCAAACCCCCACATTTTTCGAGATTTTTCAATGTTTTTTTTTTTTTTTTTTTGGGGGGGGGGGGGAGGGGTGATACAAGTTAAAACACAAGAGAATATGTGTTAAAATACAAAATGGTTAAATATATTTTGTTACTTGTTTTACAAAATGTTTGATTTATGAAATACCTTTAGGGGTTTTGTCATAAAATCCCCCATATTTACATAAAAAAACCGGTTATGCCAAAATCGATTTTTTTTGCCACAGATGCCTAACATTTGCCCCTCATGTTTCATTTAATGTTTTTTACTGGTTCCCCTTAATCAACCGGTTACATCCCCATTTGCTATTGGTAACATTGTTAAGCCCGTCTCCTCCGTTTCTCCTCTGTTAACACTCTGTCAACATTGAGACACCTACCACCCTCCCATGCTAGTACTTCTTCAGACATAGGTAATAGGAACTCAAATGTTAAACTCCATTTGGTGAAGCATTCTCATTGTATGATGCTAGGGTTTTTCAAGAGGTAAGAAATTACGGTCTGATCATGGTTTTTATGAGAAATCATCTCCATTAATTGTTTACTTTTCATGATATGGTTGCGATTGTGCAGGGGTTAGAAATGGGTTCTTCAGACGATGGTTACGACGACCCATTTGCTGGAATTTACGAGCCATTTTCTGGGTTAAATGAGATGGATTTTGAGCTGCATGGGATTTACATGGATCATGAACCACGACAGGAGTTTGTATCAAGGCTTGATAAATGTAAGGATCATTTTCTTAACATTCTACTTTGTGATGCGAACATTAGAAATGCAAGTATGACTGATGAGGTGAAAGATCAAGTGGACCATGATAATGATTTGCAAAATGATGAGGCAGAGGAAGAAGTGACTAACAAATACAGAATACATGATCCAAATTTTAGGTGGGATAAGATGGAACCTAAGTTAGGGGACGTGTTCGAATCACCTGTACAACTGAAATTTTGTGAGACAAACTATGCAGTAAATGGAGGGTACCAAAGATACTTTCAAAAGAGTGACAATAGAAGAATTGTTGCAAGATCTGGTAAGAGACATGAAGATAATAAATTCACTTTTAGACTTTATGCAGCATGGATGTACAATGACAGAACCTTTCAGGTTAAAGCAATGAATTATGAGCATCTTTGTTCTGGAGTGTTTAAATTTGGGTCTATTGTTACCCCGGAAAGGATTGGAAGACACTATGTTACTGAGATAGCAAATGAGCCCAAAATTAAACTTAGGGAGATGATCAGTAACATCAAACAAAGATATAGATGTGTGGTATCTATAGGACAGGTTAGAAGGGCAAAACAGTGGGCAAAAGAACTGATTGAGGGTAAATAAAATGAACACTATGCAAGAATTTGGGATTATGCCCAAGAGTTATTGAGATCAAACCCTGTCTCTACATGCAAAGTTTGTGTTACTAACAATCCAGATGATAAGAATTATTTTAAAAGGTTTTACATATGTTTCAAATCTTTAAGTGTTTACTGGAAAATAAGGTGTAGGAAGGTAATAGGGTTGGATGGATGCTTCCTAAAGGGTCAGGTAAAAGGTGAATTACTCACAGCCATAGGTAGAGATGCTAATAACTAGGTGTTTCCAATAGCTTGGGTTGTTGTTGATATGGAAAACAAGGATAATTGGACCTGGTTTCTGGAGATTCTGAAGGATGATCTTGACCTTGGTACTGGTGTAGATTTGGTTGTTATTTCTGATCAACATAAAGTAAGTTCCCTTATAATTATAGTATATTTCAATTTGATCATTTCAATATGGTTTTAAATACTAAGATAATATGTTTGTTCATAGGGTTTGCTTGAATCTGTTAACTTTATTTGGCCACATGTGGAGCTCAGGCAATGTGCTAGACACATTTATGCAAATTTTAATAAAGCTTTCTCTGGATTGGAGTTGAAGAAGATGTTCTGGGGTTGTGCAATGAGTTGTGTTGAAGGTGACTTCTTGAGAAACATGGAAAAAATAAAGACCATAAGCCCTAGTGCATATGAGTATCTAATGTCAAAAGAACCCAAAACATGGTGCAAAGCTTACATGAGTGTAGGGTTTGCTTGTGAGGCAGTGGAGAATGGTATTTCAGAGTGTTTCAACTCCATAATTGTAGAAGATAGGAAAAAACCTTTGATTACAATGATTGAAGAGATAAGGATATACATAATGGGCAGGCTTTCCTTTATGAATGATGAATGCAGTAAATGGAAAGGTAATATATGTCAAGAGGTGATTAAGAAGATGAATCTTTTTGGAAAGAACTTTAGGTAAGACACAAAATAATTGTTTCTTTTTCTAACTGTCATTATAGTTGACATATAATGACTAATACATACTCTTTTGTCTTCATGAAGGCTTTGGTTAGTAATGGATAGCTTAGGAAATGTATTTGAAGTGAGAAGAGCATGTGCTAGTTACAAGGTAGATTTGGATGGTAGGGTTTGTTCTTGCAGATTATGGGATTTGTCTGGAATCACTTGTGTCCATGCTATAGCAGCCATTAATTATATCCATCAAACTCCAAATGGATATATTAGTGACTACTTTTCAATGAATAAATTCAAGGAATGCTACTCAACAAACACCAGTCCTATGAATGGGAGTAATATGTGGCCTCTAACTGGATACAACAAGCATTTTCCACCTGTTGGTAGGAAAATGCTTGGTAGTCCCAGAACCAAAAGAAGGAGGCATGCAAGTGAGAAAGAGAGTAAGTTTAGTTCCACTTCAAGGGTGAAACCCCCAAGGACAGTAAGATGTGCTAATTATCTTGAGTATGGGCATAATAAAAAAGGCTGCAAGAATGAAAAAAAGGTACCAGTTCCTATGCCACCAAAGAAGATTGGGAGGCCTAGGAAATGTGTTGTGGTTGGATCCAATCCACATGTTTCTGTACCCAGTCAATCTAGTCAACAAGCAAGTCAACATGGCATTCAACCACTTGTGACATCAACTGTAACCACTCAACCTAGTCAACAAGCAAGTCAACAGGGCAGCCTGCATGCTTCAAGTTCTAACACTGGTAAGAAAATAGGAAATTAGGTTTAAGAGGCCCAAGTTTAAAAGTTGGTGACATTGCATCTGTGGGTACTCGTTCAAGTGAAGTAACTGTCCCGGATGTTAAAAGGAAGAAATTGGCTGTAAGAAGGCCAAATAGGATGTCAACAACCAAATTTTAGGATGAAGTCAATAACCAGGTTCCAAATGAGGTTGTTCAAGCTCCTTCTCTTAATGATGTTCCTTTGGTGAATGAGATTATAGAAGAGGAAGAAACTGAGGTGTCAGTGAAGGTGCTAGAGCCAATTTTTAATGAAGTTTATTTGGTCAACAACCAAGTTCCAGTTGTTAATGATATTCCAAATAATGTTGCTCAACTTCCTGTTGTTAATGATGTTCCTTTGGTGAATGAGGTGATAGACGAGGAAGATGACATTATGGTGATAGAAGAAGAAGTAATTATGGTGCTAGAAGAAGAAGCAATTGATGTTCCAATAAAGGTTGTCCAAGATCTAAAACAAAGTCTTGATGAAATTGGAGATGCAATTGATCAAATTCTTGGTTCTGGAAATGTATCAGATGCATCTGATGTTCCATTGGTGAATGAAGGTGGTGCAGAACCTGAATTCACTGAAGGACATGCATCAGATGTTCTCCCCTATAAAATCAAGATAAGTGTTAAAGAAATAGAAATTTTACTTGAAGCAGGATATTCCATGGCTGAAATTGAAAGCATGGGGTGGTTGGAAATTGAACTTGATGACAATCCACCAGTTGAGATGGTAATTTATTAACCTTGTAATTTTAAATATATGTTATTTATTAACCTTTTTATTTCTTGCATCAGAACTTAAATGAGGATGAGCCTAATGTTGATGAAGGTGAAGCTGACTTTGTAAATGATGTTCTAAATGATGATGGTGTGATTGAAGGTGAAGGTGAATCTGACTTTGTAAATGATGATGATGTGATTGAAGTTGAAGGTGCTGAAAATCAAGATGATGGTGATGTGATTGAAGGTGAAGTTGTTAATAATGGGAATGAGGTTGCTGGTGATGTTCTAAATAATGAGGTTGCTAATGATGGGAATGTGGCTGATGATGAAGGTCATCTGATAGTGCCTAAGACAAGGAAAAAAACCATCAGAGAGGATCACTAAACTAAAGCTTAAAAATGCAGTTTTTGATAAAGATGGGGGTGGTTCCACAAGTTCAAATCCAGTGAATCTGGAGTAGTTAGTTATGTATATAGGGGATTTAGGTGGGAATGGTATACTTGGGCATTTACACAGGAAGCCCTTTTTGGTACATTTTGTACATGTTAATTTATACACCCACTAAGTGCACCTTTCATCTAGTTGTTCTCATGTACCTTTTGGGTTGCCTTTTTGGGATATATTTTTGGGAATTTGGTACAAATGGATGGATGTTACATGTTAGTTGATCTTTTGTAATCTTTTGTATTGGCACATGAATATGATGTAATGAATCCCCTCATTATAGTTATAATATGTTTGTTATTATTTTATACTATGTTTTTTTTATCCATACCATTGGCATCTACATTATGTATCATTTGTAACTACAGTTAACCAATTTCAGCATTGTACTTTATCATTTAGCAATTTAATGTATATTATGAGCCATATGTTTGTTATGTTTACCATTTACATTTCACAGATAATTTGTATTTTACCATTTCACAGCATTGTACCATTTCATTATACTTTACCATTTCACAACATTGTACCATTTCATAATTGTAGCTTACCATTTGCATTTCACAAATAATTTGTATCTGAAATCTTCATCCAAAACAACATTGTACCATTTCATAATTGTACTTTACCATTTCACAACATTGTACCATTCCAAAATAACCGTTACTAGCCAACTTCAACATTGTACTTCCATTTGGAACTAAAATCAATCCAAACATTCTACCAAAAGCCAAGTCGACCCAAACATTCTACCAAAAGCCAATCCAAAATGATTTACATCTTCAAAACAACTATTGTCACCATTACAAAAATAAGAACCAAAATACCTACAATTATTTCTACCAAAGTCTTCAATTGTCCATGCCCCTGCCCCTGCATCTACTTTGTGTGGGTTGGGTCGATAATGTGGCCATCTTCTTCATTGTTCCATTTGAAAAAACCACAGTCCTCTTCTTCCACCTAGAGAAAACAATAATTTGTATTAACTACATACAAATTAGGGCAAATTGTTTCAAGGTTTCTTCATTGTACCATTTCAAGGATTATCAAGAAATTTACAAATTAGGGAAAATTGTTTACCATGTAATTAGGGCACCTGTAAAACTTCTTTCCATAGGTCTCAGGTCTTCGAGCAACATATACCTTGCACGCATCTCCATAGCCACATCTAACTACTCTTTTCTTTCTCAATGTTGGACCACCTTGGAAGCTTTATTTGGCAGACGAAGTCGACATTTTACAGATACTTAGGGTAGAAGACGGGAGAGAGAATACAAGATAGTTGAGGGAAAGACTTTGGATCGATGTTAACGGAAAACGAGTATGTTTAGGGGTTAAAAGGGTGGATGTAACCGGTTGATTGAGGGGAACCGGTAAAAAACATTAAATGAAACATGAGGGGCAAATGTTAGGCATCTGTGGCAAAAAAAAAATCGATTTTAGGCATAACCGGTTTTTTTTATGTAAATATGGGGGCTTTTATGACAAAAACCCATACCTTTATTTCCTAATCTATGAAACATATACATACGAGGTTTTGACTAAAAATGCAAATATATGTGTGTGGTACATACAAAGGATTCATCATTTCAACGATTTTTTTTATAAACTATAATAGGTATAGTTTATAGGGCATTCACACTATTTTACTCTTTTTGGGATAAAGAAATAATTATTTAAAAGTATAATTATTTTTACGCTATGTAAACACTATGAAAAGGTAATACATACAATTACAAGGAAAATGGATTTTATTACTCTATACGTAAACCGATTAATACAATTTTATGAGACATCCTTTACCGTACTCCCCATAGTACACACTAAAGTCTTATATGATAACCAGAGTCTTTTGTAGGGGAGCGTGACATTTGTATGAATATTGTTGTACTTGAAAGTATGTTAGATCGACAGATATGGGGTGACTAACAATCTCGCACCTAAACTGTTAGCTAAAGTTAGATCGACAGATATGGGGTGACAAATATCGTACAATTTCAACGTTTGAGGAATGTCGTAGCGGGGCAACTAGTCGATAGCATGGTTATAATAACTCACATGAGGTATTAGCTAATACATTTGGTTTACGGGGCTAATGTACATTCAACCAGTT